ATTAGTACAATAACCTAATCGTATCATGACTTGAGGTAATAAATTTAACTAGACACTTGGAAACGGTTCCTCTTCCGAGTTCATTTGACAACGTTCCATATAGAGGAGAGAGTAATTGTGAATTTAGCGTTCCAAACAACANTGGTTTTATCTTTGGGCCACAGAAGGCAATACAATCGTGCATCAGTCATATCCAAATCGATCTCAAGCCACGAGATGCTAACGAATTTGGAAGTTCCGACAGCAGTTAGTGCTCCCGTTTGTCGCCCGAGCACATGGTACAATTTGGTTTGGGGATCGTCTTTTTGTGATTCTTTTTTCAATAGAAAGAGTGTTTCCATTCCCGGAGCAAAACCGCTCGTGTGACACTGAAGTGCAGCTGCCCTTGTGGTCACATTTGGCCATGTTTCCAGTACCAACCTCACACCTTTGACTTTTGGTTGGATCATGGTCAATTTGGTCCAGGCATAATTGACTGCATCGTACAGCTTGTTTTGGGTTTGGCGAGGATGTGAGTGGTGGAGGGTGGTAAGATGAAGATAAGTAATCATAAGCGCAAATTACGGTAAAGATAGACTGAGTAAAATGATGGCGTAATTGCCTGTTTTGCATCAAAAATGTCAAGGTGAAGTTTCACTTAAGGGCTTTTGTACATTGATTTACATTTTATCTATTCATCTATCCGTCCAACTGGTCCGTTTATTTCGTGTGTCACGAAAACCATAACTTGTTTTTCTTGACCTTTCGTATATGTTATAAAGTCACTTATTGCTATGAAAACATGACGATCGATAACTTTGTTTTTTATCTGCACTGACCGTACCCTTCCTTCGTTGATATCGGGCCAATTGATTGATTGATTGACTGGCATTGAATTCGACAAGCATGAATATTTGTAATTCTGGTTAGGCGGATTTGAAGGTTTTTGCACAGTGGTAACACACCTTCTATGTGAGAGGTCCAGAGTTGAAAGCCTTTACGGAAAGGTAGTTATGCATCATTATTGAATGATAATTGGAGTGAACCTCATATCAGGTGGTTCCCGAGTGCATGGTTGATTGAATAAACTGGGGATTGAGTATGAAGATTAAGTTTGTGGAGTAGCCAATTTAAATTAATATTACTTATCCCACTTGATTATTCTCGGGTAATTGCGAGCTAAATGTGAACGTTTTCAACGGTTCAATACATCACAATAGATGCCATCATGTGCAACGCGATTGCTTAGGCGTTGGCTCAGAATCACCACAAAGAAGTGCGAACCGATAATTCGTTCAACCAATCCACTGGATGTATGCATGACACAAAACAAAACGGACACCCAATTTGCTACTAATGACCAATGCCTTCTTGCAATTAAACGCAGAAAAGGTTATTCGCGATGAAATTTCTTTTCAAAATATCGCATCAGGTTGCTGCTGAATACCCATTTTTCGGGGTGTATAGAGCAAATACTTGACTTGTCATACATGAGGCGATCGTGGCACAGATATCTAATTTTAATCTGCCTATCTCTCCAAAGTTTTCCATTTGACCGTTGTTCTCTCACCTCCTCTATGACTTTGGCATTGATTGGTACCAACCTTGTCGCATTCGGTTGCTCTGTTCGCTCGTCTCTGTCATCGTTATAAACTGAGTTGCAATTGGCCGGATTAGATATCTGTACCATGGTTTCCATATATATGTAACCGGCTGATGCACTCTTTTAGCACAAGTGGCACATGGAGACATCTTAGCACTGGTGTTAGGAGCCATAGTATGTCGTAAGTCCACAGGGTTCGAACACCGCTGTCTACGTTGTATTGCACGAGTCTGGTGGGGTAACCGGACGAGCAATACCGAGATCAGGCGTAGAGTTTTAGGCAGTCGCGGTCGTCCACTGGAACAAGTGATCAAACTCCATAGATTACATTGGTTGGGGCATGTGTTACGCATGTCACCAGATAGGTTACCACGGCAAGCGATGTTTGCCGAGGCAGGTGGCGGTTGGAAAACGGTCAAGGGTGGTCAAACGAAGACCTGGCATGAGGGTATGAAAACCCTAATCTGGAGATTAAGTCACATAGGCCCCGTTAGGCTCCCTGGCTGGAGACCCCGAGATGATGGTCACCGATGGTTAGAGACACTGAGTGATATGGCTGGGTGTCGCAACCGCTCGGGCATCCACTCATTATTCTCCCAACACCAATCTATATGAATTTTCCATCTTCCACTTGAACTTGCTTTCAACATTCGAATCTCATTCTGCTCTTTTATCCATTGGGCATCAAAAGACAGCAATCAAAACCGGCGCACGAAAGGGCATGGTTAATGGTTGTAAAAACTGAACAGAACTGAAGTCCACAGTAATGAGCATAGAGTCGGAAAAAATAGTTATCACATTATCGTTCTTGAGACTTGTTGGTATAACGCAGTCACCTTCTATGGGGTTTATATCATTTTTAGCCTAAACTCACAATTTTACCTCAATGTTATAAAACAAGTCATGTCTGCTTAAAATAAATAAGATCAAAATATATCGGTATATTTTAAGGCTAACAAGGGTTGAAAGTCTTATTTCCTAAAATGCTGGTATTGCAGAGATTGATTAACACATGAGAAGATTTAGCGATAGAGTTAACTGTGACAGATTCCATGATGGAACTCTTAGATAAAAATTCTTTCATTAGCTCAACAATGACTCAAGCAAAAACGATCCCGTATTTCCTTGGAAATCAACGGCGGTCACACCTCAAGTAAGAGGAACTTAAGTAGTCTTTATTCAAGAACACTTTATCTACTCGATAGATTGTGCCAGGCTTCAGCCGATGCTGCGAAGAATGTTGGTTTTCGTAGGCGCATCTTTGGTAGGTTTGAATCGGTAACATTCCCACGTATGCTATCAGTTTACATTCGACCATATGCAGAGTAGGGCATCCAAGCCTGGAGGTTACGGCTGTAACCTGATCATAAGATGTTGGAGCGTTCACAAAGGATTGCCAGCAAGATGATCAAGGAATTACTTCACACGCAGGGAGGACTATACTGTACTCAGTAAAGCCGAATTCTAGGAGACTTGATTTTATATAATGATTTATATATACATATTGCAGAACTCAGACCATCCATTTATTTTGCTGCTTACATTTTCGCCAACACAAATCCTAATGGACATCGTTTCAGGTTGGTGATTTCAAAGTTTTGACTGGAATGCCGGTGAAAATATTTGAAGTCAGAATGTGTATCCCTCAAAACGCTATCCCATCTCAAGCCTTTTATGTACCAACCGTTGAACCTTTCAAGAGGAAGCTTGAAGAAACTGTGACACACCTCCCATGCCTACAAAATCAAAAACACAAATCATTGGAAGACTACCACATTATGTGTTATCTCTTACCCGGAAATACATGTGTGCCAAGAAACAGTCCAATGGTGTAAATATCCTATGGGAGTAAAAGAAGTGTGGGCTTGTAAGTAATTCCTATGATAAAATTTGGACTTTTACTGTCCATGGTGTTCTGGGTGAACCTCCTTGACGCCACAGTCTTAAACGCATAGACCTATCACATACCAGCCCCAAAAATGAGTATGATACACGAAATACTAATAGTCCCATCGTGTTTCCTTTAGTTTCCCGGTATCAAAACTATCAGGGTCGATCAAATTTGGTTTGATGAAGATACAATCAACTAAATTATTGTGTAGTTGAGGTTTCGTAGAAAAAACGATCATTTGTGCACTTTGAGCTGCATTGACGAGCTTCAATAGGTGTAATAGCACGACGCCACTGTAAAGCTTCTTTCATGATCTGTTCGTTATTTCAACACATTTTTTAAACCACGGTTGACCAATCTCTTATACATACACATCGGAGTCCAAAAACAAAATAATTTAAGATTCACTGGAACGGAAGGGTATCATTCTCGATACTAAGTTACAGTGCGATTGTTTGAAGAAGTATGATCCGAAAAAACTGGACACCGTCTCCCAATGTATTTCTGCTTATCAAGTACCGCCCAGCTGCTTTCCGAGTCAGACTCTGGCTAACCGAAGAGTCCGGTTGATGAATTCCACTATTTTGGCCTCGGTGCAACTTGGCGGTATCACTTACACGATCAATTCATGGAACCTTTGCTTTTCTTCGGATGGTTGTAAAGTAAGTTACATAAAGAGTAAATGCAACGTCACTTGAAGGGCTAGGAGGCACTGAGCAGTTGTTTTGATCTGGTTGGATCGTATTGACAGTGGGAATCCATCGATCCAACTTGGGATATAAACAATAACTATGAACCAAATCCTCTATTCCTCTCGTGTAACATGTAATCGGATTGGAATGTTTCCGATCGAGTAATAACCCTGGAGTCTAGTGTTGAGATGCACAAGGTGCGATGCCCGAATTAGGCTCGCAAAGATGGGTTGTGCCGTATGGTGTACAAGGAAAATGAAAAGTGATCTGATCAGCTGCCTGGTGGCCAAGTGGGTAGTATACTTGTGTTCTGCCCAAATATTACGAAATATCAACGCTGATTACGAATAGCTCTTTTAAGGGCAGTTACAACAATGATAAGTCCACCGTACGCCTAGCAGATACCAGTTGGAATGAATTTTATCAATGTGGTCGTTGCAGAGCGATCAAGGAGAGCAACAGATTGTGATTATGTACAAAACTAATTTTCTGGTAGTTTAGATTACGACTTGGATAATTTTATAATTCAGGTGAGAATGCTATGCTAATTTTCTGGAAAAAGGACAACATATTTGGTGCATCACTTTACTTGACAACTCTAAGGATGGGGGCAGAGGTTGAGAGACACCACTATGCAGTGGACTGGAATGAAAAAATGCCATAACCCACTTACCTGTGGTTCTGGATCACCTTGGCGTTGTATACAAATTATTAAATTATCCGCCCTAGCTGGATCCAACACTGTGCTAGTCACGACAGCCATAGATTTTGTCGACTGATGAATGATCGTTTGTTTGGAAGTCAATCGATATATACAGGCATCGAGCAACAATAGAATGTTCAGCTGTTTCTTTGTCAACTCATTCACCAGTGTTTGGTTTGTATGACAAACAATCAACTCCGCGACAACATGCTCCTCCTGACGTTGTGTCAGGTTGCCCAAACAGGATATTCCCAACTCCATACCAATAAACCAGTTGTGTCGTGGAAGCGGGAATCTTAAATCCGGAACCGATGCCCGTGGTGTCAGTCTACTTCCCACAGCATCACATAATGCATTGAACACTGACTCCCGTTTGATGCGGAGCACTGGGTCATCCCACTGTGGTTGACAGGATTCACACAATGCATTTGATTCAAAGGTGGGCAAAATAGTAGTAAAATTAATAGGGTTTAGTGTGTGTAGCAATTCATTGTGTAATTTCTCTCGTTCACTTGTCATAGCATGAGTCACGGCCAAAATGATCCGCGTACCGCTCGTTTCCAGGACACTCATATCACGTCTAATCTCGTCCAACAGGTCCATGTTCACAAATCTATCTAAAGTGAGCAGAACGATATGTTTCTTTTTCGATTTTTGTGGTCGCATTTTAATCACTGCTTTGATAACTTCCTTCAGTGAAATCCTCACAGCATCACAACCAGAATTCATTGTGGTTGGTTTGACGTCCCGAGAGTATAAACGTCTTGCTAGTTCGATTCGCGAAAGTTTGTCTTCAAACCGAATAGATTTTCCCGATGAACTGGAATCAGCTTTTTCACTGAATATATTATCCATTAAAATATTAAACTCAGTATTCTTTTTTCCGTAAGGTAAACCTAGGATTATCTGGCGCACAAAAGTTAAAAAGTAGTATCCATAAAAATGAATATCTGGGTCTGGACTGCCAGCAAGTGCACAAGATGCGAGTAATTTTCGAGTGAGCAGAATAGATAAATCCATTTTGACGTATTTTGTCGGACATATGGCGATTGAAAATGAAATCGTTTTATTAATTTCATGAACCTTTCCTTGTACTTCATTACTTGCAATACATGTGTAAGCATAAGTCATACCTCGGTATTTTGGATCATCAGGCACGTGTAGTTTATCTTCACTTGCTTCTAATCCCTCTGAAGGGACATCAGTGAAGGGTTGTTTTGGTCCACCCCAACCGCCTTCACTGCCCGGCAAAAGACTAGCTAGATCCGGACCGTTGGAATCTTCCTCATACCTTAACACATTGTACGGTTCCCATCGATAACTCAATGGAGGTAATCCATAACCACCAGCACAGGTGAATTCCGTGTCTAGAGGTACTGGTTGATGCTCGTAGTCTGTTGCTATCGTCAAAATAGTTGGCATCCCAGTGGCTGGTTCTTGAATTGTAAATGCAAAGTTACATTCCACACTACTAGTTTCGTTTCGTTTCACAAGATCAACCGGTACAGACAGTCCGTTGTACAATGTGCCACATCTTATACTCAGCAATCCAGTGTAATCTTTGGACTGAACAGCCACTATCTGATGTGACTGTCTTATC